AGCGGGCGGCGCCTCCCTCGGAGCAAAGTTTTATGCAGAGACGATTTTTTTAAAGTAATTGGGAAAACTTTAGATGCGCGTTGTTTGTTTTTTTTGGAAGGGGGGGTGGCCTATAATTCCGAAGAGCTACCTAGGCTCTTTACTCCTTGTCTAGTGCAAATCCACGCCTGAGGTCTATTTGTTTTTGAACCTTTGGCTTTATTTAAAAAGGTGTAAATTTTAAGAATTGCTTAAATGATCGGTTGGGCATTCACAACAGACACGGCATATGCATAACGAATATTTCTGAGAACACCATGTCTAGACTTTTGGAGATCCGGTTGAAGGATCCCCCCCCCCCCCCCCCCTTTTTTTTTTTTTTTTTTTTGTGCTCGGTGTAGCCAGTTCTGGGAATTTGTGTATCTTGCCACGTTCTTGTCTAGTTTTATGAAAAGTTAATGTCACTGCTGAGTTAATAACTGAGTACCTTGGTTTTGGTTCACTCCCTAGGCAGTTTAAGTGAACACAAGTAAACATGGGCAAAGGAGATCCTAAGAAGCCGAGAGGCAAAATGTCATCATATGCATTCTTTGTGCAAACTTGCCGAGAGGAGCACAAGAAGAAGCACCCAGATGCTTCCGTTAACTTCTCAGAGTTTTCTAAGAAGTGCTCAGAGAGGTGGAAGGTAAGAGGGCTTAAGACATGCTGACAAGGTAATAACTAGCTAATAATTTCATGGGCAAAGGAGATCCTAAGAAGCCGAGAGGCAAAATGTCATCATATGCATTCTTTGTGCAAACTTGCCGAGAGGAGCACAAGAAGAAGCACCCAGATGCTTCCGTTAACTTCTCAGAGTTTTCTAAGAAGTGCTCAGAGAGGTGGAAGGTAAGAGGGCTTAAGACATGCTGACAAGGTAATAACTAGCTAATAATTTCCAAATTAGGATGGAAAAGAAGCCTGCCTGTCCATTCTCCTAATAGACTGTTGAATGGCAAAGGATACTTCTCATTTTAATGCTTTGGGATAATTAAACTTTACATATCAATGAAGCTTACAGATAATTCTCCTTTAGACCATGTCTGCTAAAGAGAAAGGAAAATTTGAAGACATGGCAAAGGCGGACAAGGCCCGTTATGAACGAGAAATGAAAACCTATATCCCTCCTAAAGGAGAAACAAAAAAGAAGTTCAAGGATCCCAATGCGCCCAAGAGGCCTCCGTAAGTACCTTTACTTTTATTTTCAGGACATGTTTTACAGTAGAATCACAGATTTAGGAAGATTCTATCCTGTGAGTTGAGTGTTCAAATTTTCTGAAGCTAATAGTGGCTCACATTGCTATACCTAAATATTGTAAATAAAATTCCTTTTGGATGAACACAAGTATTAGCCAGAGTATTTGCCTCCTTGCCCAATATACAGTATAATATAATTTTCACTCACTTCTTTAGAACTGTTTTCTAAAATGCTTTAGAGTGTGGTTCTTCTGGATCTCTGACTAGTATAAGTCAAGTGATTGTAATTAACTTTGGCTGAATGTTTGCACCCTGTTCAGTGCATGGTAGAAATTAACAGGTGGCTTATGTATTTACTAGTCCTTTTTTTTTTTAATCTGTTAACTTAATCTTAAATGAATTCAATTTCTCTTTAGTTCGGCCTTCTTCTTGTTCTGTTCTGAGTATCGCCCAAAAATCAAAGGAGAACATCCTGGCCTCTCCATTGGTGATGTTGCGAAGAAACTGGGAGAAATGTGGAATAATACTGCAGCAGATGACAAGCAGCCTTACGAGAAGAAGGCTGCCAAGCTGAAGGAAAAGTATGAAAAGGTAAGTGTGTGGGTTTGCTTCAAGATTGCTGACTTTGAGATGTAATAGTTTGTAGTGTAACAGCTATATCATCTTAAATCTTTTTTCATTTTTTAAAGAATTTTGACCGCCATGTAAAATGTTAGTATTTTTACTTAATATAATTTGACTGGTGCCAAGGCCATATATTTATTTTTGATACTGAGGATCAAACTCCAGTCCTTGAGCTTGCAACGTAGGTGGCAAGGCAGCACCACTGAGCTAAATCCCTGGCCCAGAAATAAGTTATTTTAAAATTGTCAGGTATACAATAATAAAAATGACTTGAGTAAAGTAATACTTTTCTTAACTATGCCCTGAAATATTTAAATTCCTTTAACACGCAAAAAATCTGTAGCATTACCAAGTAAGATGTAAAAAAGCTGTAAGTCCTGTAATTTAAATTGAAGTACTAAATACTTAAATTGTACTTCTTTAGTCATTCTGATACCTATTTTTAAATGTCTCTTCACCATATTGCATGTTTATTGGCAAATTACCTGTTTTTAGGACAGTTTTGTACTGTGGATCAAGGTCTGACAGGGTAAACCTGTAGAATGTTTTTTTACATTCAGAAGGTGGCAGTGTCTACCCTTTAATCAAAGTTTCTGTGTTCTAGTTTTAATAGAGTTAGCATGTAGTGTGTAATTGTACCTCAGTGAGGCACATAGCATTGGAAATACTAAACCATGATATTTCATGAGTTAGAGCTTGATTGCTCCTTGTAATTACTGTTTTTATGTCCACTTTTCCAAATTCTAGTTGTATGTGTAGGTGAGTTTCACCGTGTTGGTTCTCTTTCTTCCCTTACTTAACTTCTACTGTTTCTCCCCCTTTGGAAGGACATCGCTGCCTACCGAGCTAAAGGAAAACCTGATGCAGCAAAAAAGGGAGTTGTCAAGGCTGAAAAGAGCAAGAAAAAGAAGGAGGAGGAGGAGGATGAGGAAGATGAAGAGGATGAGGAGGAGGAGGAAGATGAAGAGGATGAAGATGAAGAAGAAGATGATGATGATGAATAAGTTGGTTCTAGCGCAGTTTTTTTTTTCTTGTCTATAAAGCATTTAACCCCCCTGTACACAACTCACTCCTTTTAAAGAAAAAAATTGAAATGTAAGGCTGTGTAAGATTTGTTTTTAAACTGTACAGTGTCTTTTTTTGTATAGTTAACACACTACCGAATGTGTCTTTAGATAGCCCTGTCCTGGTGGTATTTCAATAGCCACTAACCTTGCCTGGTACAGTATGGGGGTTGTAAATTGGCATGGAAATTTAAAGCAGGTTCTTGTTGGTGCACAGCACAAATTAGTTATATATGGGGACGGTAGTTTTTCATCTTCAGTTGTCTCTGATGCAGCTTATATGAAATGTTGTTCTGTTAACTGAATACCACTCTGTAATTGCAAAAAAAAAAAGTTGCAGCTGTTTTGTTGACATTCTGAATGCTTCTAAGTAAATACAATTTTTTTTATTAGTATTGTTGTCCTTTTCATAGGTCTGAAATTTCTCTTGAAGGGAAGCTAGTTCTTTTGCTTTTGCCCATTTTGGATCACATGAATTATTAGTGTTTTATCTTTTCGTTATCGTTAGTGGATGCAAAGCTTCTGTCTACACACCCTGCATGTCATTATAGGGGTAATAAAAGTCAAACTGAGAACATTTTCATCTATAAAAACAAACTCCAAAATCTCCATCAGTTGATAACAAATTTTACATAGCCCTTTGTAAAGTGAAGAGTAACCAATTCTGTTCACAGCATGGGATTATTAGAATCAAGCAGTCTGAAAGTTTGTCCTTGAAGGACTAAGAGAAAAATATGTTCTAGTCTTTACATGAGGACTCTTAACTCCCATTACCATGTAATGGCAGTTATATTGTGCAGTTCCCACATTAAAGGAGACCTGAGAATGTATCCCCAAAAGCGTGAGCTTAAAATACAAGACTGTCATACTAAGTTTTTTGTTGACATTTAGTCAATAGTGAAGGCTATGTAAGTGCTATCTGTATATGCCTTTCCCATTTAAATATGGACTGCTCAGGAAACAACTCCAGTGCAAGTTTTTAATTAATTGGATTGGCTTTTAAAATTATGCCACAAATTGGAAAGGGGTAGATTGTCTATATTGTCTACCCTTTCATAATTCAATTAGACATGAGAAAAGTGTGAGCTTCAGATCTTAGTATAAATTACCCAATCTATTTGAGTTTTTCTTTACAAAACCCAAACTCAGTCATGTTTATCTGTTTTAGCAGTTTAGGGAAAAATTTGGCAATTTTGTGGTTTTTGAGATTATCACTCTTAAAGTGCCAGTGTTTTAAAATAGCGTTCTTGTAATTTTACACGCTTTTGTGATGGAGTGCTGTTTTGTTATATAATTTTGAGTTGGTTCTTTCCATTTGCATTTGTTTATGTAATTTCAGGAGGAATACTGAACATCTAAGTCCTGGATGATACTAATAAACTAATAATTGCAGAGGTTTTAAATATTAGTTAACTGGCTTTCACTTAAGACTTTTAAGATTTTTGTTCTATTGCTTCCAATAATACAGTACCTCCTAGCAACACCTTTTAAATAAGAGCTGACAAAGTTTTTCCCTTCAAAAATACTTTATGCTTATAAATAGGTTAATGGGCTGATAAAAAACAGGTTTTGTCTAAAACATTCCAAGTGTGCTCAGAAGATGCTATATATATAAATGAAAAAATAATTTTGCTTTCAGGACCTTAATTTTTCTAAGTCAAGACACATAAGTGAGCCAAGTGTGGTACACAGCTGTAATCTCAGCCCTTGGGAGGCTGAGGCAAGAGGATTAAGAATCAAAGTTCGAGGCCAATCTGAACTGCATAGACCCTGTCTCAAAAAAAAAAAAAATGAAAATTGAGGTTGGTGATTACAAATCAAAGATCTGTCTTTTAAAAAGCTAAATGTGGTCCTCAATTGAATGGTTGCAGTTTCAAAAATAACCAGATTTTTAGTTAAGGGAAATGAAAGATCATTTGTTCATCTGACTCCGATGGAAGTTCACTATTGTGGAAGCACTGTTGTCAAACGTATTGCTATGTCTAATCCAGTTAAAAATTCTGCCTCAAGGGACCTTTTAGAACTTCTGTGGGTGTGTCATGGCAACTGCCCTCTAAGATGTTGAGAATGGGGAAAGTGGCTTAGAGTTAATTGTATAACTGACTTTAGATCCTGACAGAAACAAATGGTCAAAAATCCTTTCAAATCTTAAAACTAATGAGTTCTGTGTAGTGTCAAAACAGTATTCCTGGGAACCCGGATACTTCGAATCCAATATTCAAGTAAGCCAATTATTTACAGTGTAAAATCTGATTAAAACATGGAAATAACTAAATTTTTTTATTTTGCAGTACTGTGGGTTGAACGCAGGGTCATTGCCAGAGCTACATTCCCAACTCTTAGTTTTTTAAAGTTCGAGACAGGGCTTTGCCAACAAGAATAAATTGCCCATGCTGGCCTTGACTTTGATCTGCTAGGATCCCAGGTTGCTGGAATTATAGGCATGTGTTACCACGATAGCTGGAAATGACTTGTTGAAAAAGCACTATTTTAGTAATGCCTAGAGGTGGTTACAGCACAATAAGAGTTTTAAGGTTTTTTAATTTAAGAAGCTGCCAGGTGTTAATGGCGCACACCTGTGATCCCAACACTTGGGAGGCTGAGGCAGGTGGTTTGCTGCATGCTCAAGGCTAGCCAAAACTATATAGATTATCTAAAAAGAAACTTAAACTTTAATATTAGGTTCTCTGTTTTAAAAACCACGGCATAGTTAATCCCATCCTGATTCACTTGAGTAAAGATTGAAAATTTGCTGATTAGCTGCTATAATTCTGATGATCTTCCATCAAAATGTTGACATAAGTCAATTTTCTTAGAGTGAAATCTAGAACTGTTTTGTGTACCCCAGGGGTAAGGATTAAAAGATAGGAAAAATACTCTATGCTTAGTAAACTGTTCAACAGATCTTTTCTTCACTACCTGGGGAAACAATTTACTCATATTTTTGCAGTATCTGCTGAAAACTGCACATAGCAAAGTAGTGATTTTTTTGGCAAACATGTCCACTACCTTGTAAGGCATCACATAGTCTGATAAAAGCTAAATCTATGTCTGCTTGGTAAATGTACCTGGAAGGTTTTTGTTTTTTTTCAATACCAGCATGGTATTACTACAAATATGCACACATCAAGCAACTTAAATCTTGAACCCTAAGTGTGAACCACTACCTAGTAGTTATTTGGTGATTGTGTTAACAGTTAAATTTAGATTTATGCTTGTCACTTGGAACTGACCCTTGAAATAATCTAATAGTAGATAAGAGCTAGAAAAGGGTTGGGGTTCCTATCCCAACGAGAAGCAAGGTGGTTCATTTTCTTGTCCCCTTCTAGTAGCTGAGCGGTGCTAACATTTGCCACAGCTTAGGAAATTCCCTGGGTCTCAGCCAACTTGCTCCCTAGGGTAATGAGGCAAAATGTTGCTCTGTTCTAGGAATGCTGCTGTTTCACGATCTACTGTGGCACCGGAATGCATGCCACACAACACAAAATGACACAGGGATAACTTGATAGGCCACACAGTCTAAAATAGATGCTATTTTCCAGAAGGAAATAGAATCACTGAAGCCTTTAGGCATGTCTGTGGTTTAGCCCTTCCATAGCAGAGTTCACTAGGCATCCACAGAAAAAGTAATGTAGACCTGGAATCATAAAAGGGTAATCCTGTAAGTGAACATGAGTTGGTGGAAAACCACTTTAGTACTGGGAAATACATTGGTCATGGGTGTACCTCAGAGGTAGTGGGTGCTTAGCATACTTAAGGTCCTGGATTTGATCCCCAGCACAAAAAAATAAATGAAAAGTGGCTTAGCAACAGATCCTTAAAAATTTCATGATGCATTTCTTCACTTGCATAATGTAGTCATAACATTTCATAGTGTGAAGCCCTATTATAATTTGTACATTCTCTTTCCTCCACTTTTTGCTATTTCTCACAATATCTAAGTGAACATTGCCTTCAGGCATATGTTGATCTTTAGGATAAACCTTGAAAGAGTCTAAAGATACTTGGATTTCATATTCTGGCAGCTATGTATTCATAAACTGACCCACTCAAAAAGTAATACATTGTGAAAGATTTTGATTTTATAATGAAGGTTTTTACTGGTTAGTCTGGCTCCATGGGATTTTTTTTTTTTTTTTTTTAAAGAGAAGACTAAAATACTGATATACTGTCATTTGTCCAGAGCTACCAATCACAGAAACCCGAGTTAGAACTGAAAGATGGTTGGGTTGGCTACTGTTTCTCTCAAAGGTTACTGCAGTAACTAAATATTTGATCCCTTGTGTGAAAATGAGCTTCCTTCCCATTTTGGCATCCAATATCTTAAGTGGAAGTTTCTGGTTATTTTTCTATCTGGGGAGGACATTTTGTAGCATAAATTGTGTATCATACAGAAACTATGGCCCCATTTTGGAAAAGAATTTGGCAACAAGGTGTAGCCAAAAGATGGGAAATCACAAGTCTCTCTCTCTCTCTCTCTCTCTCTCTCTCTCTCTCTCTCTGTGTGTGTGTGTGTGTGTGTGTTCGCGCCCATGTGCATGCATGCACACACCAAAGTCTAGGCATTAGGAGATAGGTTATTTGAACAGGTGGACTGGATCCTGCGCTGTGGCTTTAAACACGATAAAGTTTACCAGTGCTTCATATCTTTACTGGGCACAGCATTTTAGGGGAAAAAAACTCCAAATGAGTTTATGAGCACAATTATATCTATACGCTTAAAGAGGAATTAGGGTTAGTTCCCTAGAATTACACAGAACCTCTCATTAGAAGCTTTACCGTATTTTTGTTCATTGGGTTTTTTAGATGTCCACTTACAAAGTGTTCTGAATATAGGTAGGTAAGAGAATAAAGTCCTAAACCAAAATAAGTAGCCTGTTAGATGTGAGCGTTTCAAAAGATGGAAGAAAACAAAATGCTTAGTTAAACTACACCTGCAGCTGCTTATATGGTGATCGAGAAAGTTAAAAGGATTTGGGGGCTCCCCAGAGCAGACATTGCAGCTCTGCCACTTAGACCTACTTCCCCTCCAACCCTCCATTCCTGAGCTTGAAATTCAGGGGATCCTGGGCCTTGCTTTCCCACCTGGAATCTGCCCAGGTGGGGCTTGGGTTTACTGAACAGGCCAGGCGTTGGGGCTCAGAAGCAGCAAAACTGAACAGCCTTGTTCACAAGTGACGAGATTTGTTAGTACTTTGAAGGTCAGCAACAGAATAATGCATGACACCGTGATGGTGTCATAGCATGTTAGAGGTGAAGATTCCATGGGCCATTACAGTCCAACCTGTGTGCATTTTTATAAAGCAGTGGATATAGAACCATGGACAGGCAGTGCTCCAGGAAAAGCTGCAAATTGAAACAATGTAGCAGAGTCAGGCTCAGGAGGTGCAAA